CTCATTTTATGTAGCTCTTGAAAGAGCATGAGAATTTGGTTCCTAAAATGCTCATTTTGCGACCAAACAAAATCATAATTGTGTTTTTTCTTTTACATGACAAAAAAAGAAATTTAAACTAGAGTGGAAGGAAGTGTATATAGTGAAGAAGTCGGGATTCTACTATAAAACCAATTGGCAATATAGAAACTAGTCCGACTTACTTATAAATCCATGCAAGTTTCTTACTCTCATCAATGTGTGATTCATTCTTAACGCGCCCTCATACTTGTGCCGAATTCTCAGGTCTAACGTGTTGACAACACAACGGGTGACGTGGAGCACGTGTGGCCGTTTGGCTTCACACATAGGACAACCTGCTTTGATACCATCAAGAAAGTTGGGGTTCCACTTTCAAATCAATTGGCAATAAAGGGAGTAACCCAACTTAATTATAAGCTCATACAAGGTCCCTCCTCCTATCAATATGGAATTCATTTTCAACATACAATGTTCTAACTAACTAACCTAACATATGTTTGTGGAACATGAGATTAGGGCCCAACTACCATTACCTAAGCCCAAGACCTACAGTGGTGGGCCCAAATCGATTACAATGTTAGTTAGGCTAAGGTGGAGATGAGTAGGGTTTCTGTCAAATTTGGTTCCTGGTTTGCTGAGTGGTGAGGTTCCCATAACTTGAGCTTTACTGTTTTTCTGCTTTAGTTGTTTCAACTGCCAACTGCTTCTCATTCCCTTCCCCACCTAACCCTAACAAACAAGATTAAATGATGGATGGTATTGAAGTGGTTCAAAATCTCCATTTTACATCAACCCATCAAATGCACTTTCAAATCTCACCACTCATTAACCTAATGAGAGAGAGAGAGAGAGACGCGCACAAATTTCCCACAGGGCCCACCATGAGAGACAGAAGCTACACCTGACATAACAGGGCCCATCAAATGTGTCCCTGTTCATCACGGGCTAGGCCCCACCCCCACTCTGCCCCTGCATCCACATTTGTTAAGTGTTAGTCGGGCAAGCGATTAGGCCAGGCCCCACCCCCACTTGGCCTCTTCTTCACTAACCTACAATACATCGTATGACACAAGGACCTCACAAAATACAACGATAAATAAATATTTTTTTACATGATGTTATATTAATGATCAAGGTTCTAAAAGATGTTAGGTGTTAGTCGGGTGAGCGATTGGAGTTTAGCACCTAGGCGAATAGGTAGGGGACTAGGCCGACTAGACGGATTTAAATAAATTTGTTATATATCATATAAATAAGTGTCTGTTTATATTTAAAAATACATAATTTCATTGCAATACATAAATTGCAAATAGAATAATATATAGAATATAACAGATTAGAACATAATAAAAACATGAGAACAATCATATAATGTGTGTTCATCTAAGTATTTCATAAGTCTCTTTCAAATTATTAAAAAAAAAATGTAAAATAAAAATTATCTATTTTATGTATAAGTGAGAGTAGCAACATCGGCAGGTCTAGGTGATCTAGGCGGGCGCCAAGCAGGTCTAGGAGCCCTGTCTTAATTGTTAAATGCCTAAAGATTAACTGGGGTGGTACCCAACCACCAAATGCCTAGACAGAACCTAAACGGTACTAGGCATAAATTTTTAAAACGGTGTTAATGACACATAATGCCTCAATAGCAGTCTACTCATTTTGTATAAATTTTTATCTTTATAATACGTACTCGTAGTCATATTTACATGCAGAAAACAAAAAAAAGAAAAACTAGCTATATATACGAGGGAGCATGTTACCGACAAACGATTCAAATACGGCACGCTATGGTTGAGTGTAATCTTGTAGTTAAGGTTTGAATATAGAGATTATGAATTCTTGTGGTTAAGAGACCCTTTTGTTATGTACAATTAACATCGATTCATCACTTCGGTTTGGCCATCTGTTTGAGGGTGATACCCTGAACTGTAACATAATGCAGATCCTTGTAATGTGAAGAACTCTTTCCAGAACTTACTCAAGAAAATAGGATCTCGATCACTAATTATAGAAGTAGGCATGCCATGTAGCTTGAAAATGTTGTCAACAAAGAGTTAAGCAATCATTGAAGCTAAGAAGGGATAAGCTAAAGCCAACAAATGTGCATATTTCGACAATTGATCCACTACTACCCAAATCATTGTTATGCCTCTACAAGGAGGGAGACCGACTATGAAATCCATAGAAATATCTGTCCATACTTTCGATGGAATTGGTAATGGTTGTAAAAACCCAGAAGGAGAGAGTGTCTCATATTTGTGTTGTGGACAGATCGTACAAGTAGCAACCATATCTTTCACATCCTTTTTTCATGCCTTCCCAAAAAAATGTTATTGAAATCCTTTTGTAAGTTTTGAGAAAACCTTCATGGCCTGCAATAGGGGTGGCATAAAAGGTGTTGCCGTTAAGAGTGAAAGTTACCAGAGTAAAGGTCGCCATGGGCGTCAGCTTCCGAAGGGTGGTGTAATGTTATGATTCCACATCGGCTACACAAAAAATTGTGTAGTGGTACTTAAGTACAAGGGGTCCTCCCACTTATCAGGCTAATCTTTTGGGTTGGGCTCTTCCCTTGGGCTTGAGTCCTAACATTGGTATCAAAGCCTAGGTTCCCGATGCTGAGGAAGGGATGACCTGGAAAGGGCTACCTTAACAAGGTAGCGCAAAATGTGCCACCGTTAAGAGTGAAAGCCACTAGAGTAAGGGACGCCATGGGCGTCAGCTTCCAAAGGGTAGTGTAATGTTATGATCCCACATCGGCTACACAAGAAATTGTGTAGTGGTACTTTAAGTACAAGGGGTCCTCCCACCTATCAGGCTAGTCTTTTGGGTTGGGCTCTTCCCTTGGGCTTGAGTCCTAACAAACAGGATTATCTTCTCTCTTAATTTCTCTCCACTTCTCTACCCTCCTATTTAAACAGTAATGATTAAGTCACATCAACATTTTATTTTGAATTTTTCTTATAAAGAGAAGAACAAAAAGAAAAGTGTGAGGAAAGAGAAGGAAAGAGGATGGTAATAAAATAGGAGAAAATTCTACTCCGTCGAACTCAAATGCGTATTTGACACAACCATAACAATTCTGAAGTGATATATAGAATAGGAGGAACCGAACTAAGAACTTCAGGTGCATGAAATAAATTCTCTTAACTAATTAGTTACAACATCTTGCGAAAGAGACATTTTATTAATAATGCGAAAATTGGCTCACTATGATGTCTTTAAAAAAAAAAAAAAGATCCAAGAGAATCGAAGATAAGGTGAAACAACGTGAAACGCAATTGCTCAAGTGGATAGATTTTTCATGATTTTCTTAGTATTTTGGTATGCATACTTAAACGTAACCCTATCTACTATAAGTAGGATTTTAGAGGGTTGTGGGAGAAGAGCTAATTAAGTTGAGAGATATTAAGGCATCAAAGGGTTTGATTTAGAGTTAGAGGGTGTGAAGGAGATTAATTACCAAGGTTTTTATGGTAGTTTTGTTGTAAACTAAGGTTATTCCTATTTTGCCATCTTCGGGTATGGCAAAATTTTAATGTTTTAATTTCTTTTATTGGCTTCGGGGATATCTTTAAAGGCCTGCATAATAATTTAATTATTTCGAAGGGTCTTGTCCTTGATCAATATGAATGGCTTCTTGTGTCTCGTGTCACCTGCTGGTTCATCTAGCATTGGCGTAGCAAAAACAATTTTTAGCGTGATTTTGTCTTCCCAAGCGATCCTAAAGTTATTATTTTTTCTTATTGTTGTCAATGGTTGCAAGCTAATTATAGCTACTTAAACGGTTTAGTGATATTTCTCTTTATTTATAAGTGAGAGGTCTTAGATTCGATTATCGCCAAAGGCGAATTTAAACCACATGATTGTTAGTCCATTGTGAGGCTAAGCCCATTTCCCTTCCCTTACTGTAGATAATATCGTTTATTAAAAAAAAAATATTATTACCTCTCATAAGACATCCATAGCCCTTGCTTTTATTCGTAAAGAACTATCTCCAAAAGGGTGGTTTAAACTCTTTGTGGATGGTAGAAGAAAAGGCCCTCTTAAATTTATTAGAGCATGTGGTGTTATTAAGAACTTATTTTGAGCTTGGCATGTTGGGTTTTGTATTAATATTGACGTGGAGATTTTCAACGCTGAAATTTGGGGCTGAGCGTCTTTGTTGGAGTCTAATTTCACAATTGCTGTCCAACAGATATCACATAGTGCCACTTATAATAATCCTCTTAGTGATTCAAGTTTGTCGTGAGATGTTACATTGTGACTGGAAATTCGACATATTTATTGTGAGACAAATTTTGTACTGATGAGTTGGCCAACCTAAGCCTCTCTCATATTTTGAGCAAACTTCGTCTTCTTATAAGCAGTTATGATTATTTGATATTTCTGAAATCTCTTGCCCTTGCAACGTTATTGGTAGCTTTTTTGTTGTCGAGCTATTAGCCCCCTTGTTTAGCCAAACAAAAAAATTGTTCCTATTTTACTAATTAATTAAATTCTTGTTTATTGGTTACTTTTGGCTGTGGTTATTTTTTTCTTTAAAAAGAAAAACAAGTTAAAAAAAGAGAAGCGGAGAATCTAATACCATGGACCTAAGAGGATATGTTTGTGTCCAAAAGAATTATATATGATAACATTTCAAGCATACATATCTAGGTGATGGTGGAAATTCCACATTAGATATTTGCAGAAACTAGGTGATGCAAGTAATCACCATCTTTTAGGTTAAAGTAACCTTTGAAAAATAGGCTGAAACGAATAGTGGTTCGTATACCCTTCCAAAACGATAACAACATCAGTTCAAATGCGTGACCAGAAGTATCCTTTGCAGGCAGAAAAGGAGGGAAAAGGCAGACAGATTTTATTTTTTTTATGATTTTCTTTTCTTTTTTCTTCCCTTTTTTTCTATAAATATATATCAGTACTTATCCATCTGTACCCTATGATGTCAAAAGTAACGTAAAACCGAATAGGATTTTAGCAACAAAATTTTCCACCATGCCTGAATCTGCATCTAAGAACAAGATCATGTATCCAACAGTTCGTCATTGGCTGAAGCCACATAGGAATTACTTGGCTCTATTTACAGCTGCACAACATGTGATTAAGATCAGATTAGGCAAAGTAATCCAGGGTTTATTAAATCCTTAATCATGATTACGTAGCCAAAGATGTGATAAAGTTCCTCACTTTTCCCCCAACTTTATACCCTTCCATTAGTATTAAACGCACATCTCCATACACCACTTGACTTGACCCCCTTGAAACCCTACAAAATGCTGGATAGGCATTTTGCACATCCCCATACCCATACCCTCTATTTTCCATACAAAAAGAAGGGAATTTAAACCCAACAGCTTCCCAACAGGTCTTCATACTATTCTCGATCAAAATCACTTAACTTCATAGTTCTGATGGGATCCGGTGAGTTGGTGCGATTGCTTCCGTTCCTGTACTCTGAGCTGGGTGTGTCACCTTTCTTATGTGCATAATTGAGAGAAGAATTCTGGTCGTTTTTTACTCTTCTCTGGGCTCTTGACAAGTATGAGTTTTAGTGACGAATCCGTAAGTCCGTCAAGCTGTTCTTCGATCCACTCAGCCAGGAGGCCCAGGACCAGCTAAAAAAGGGTTCTCTGATTCGGATAACATCCACTCACATAAACAAAAGAAAAATATGCTCTTTCCATGTCCTTTTCTAGCTGGAATCTTCACAACAGTTCGGTGACTTAAACAACAACAAAAACCCTTTCCTGTTCTTCCCAAAAATCCCTCCACTTCCTCTGGTCTTTTTACTTTCTTCCATTTCTTCAACCATGCATCGACATCTCCTCGGAACAGCGCTGAACACGGCGGCGCGGTCGTCCAATGGGAACAGAACCGCCGATTCTTACATTAACGAGGCCAACTTCGACACCAACATGGTGATCATATTGGCAGCCTTGCTGTGTGCTCTGATATGCGCACTTGGTCTCAACTCGATCGTCCGCTGCGCCCTCCGCTGCAGCCATAGGTTCGCTCTCGAGACGCCAGAGCAGGCGGCAGCGCGGTTGGCCGCCACCGGCTTGAAGAAGAGCCATTTGAGGCAAATCCCAATTGCGGTGTACGGTTCCGGCGTGAATATTCCGGCCACCGAATGCCCAATCTGTCTTACGGAGTTCGAAGACGGAGAAAAAGTTCGAGTCTTGCCGAAATGCAATCACGGATTCCATGTGAGGTGCATAGACACGTGGTTTCTGTCGCACTCCTCGTGTCCGAATTGTCGGCACTCGCTGCTGAGTACGAGTTCCACTGCCGCCCGCCGCCGCAGCTGCCGTTGCTGCAGATTCAAGTGGAGAAGCTGCGGCGGCGGAGGAGTCACCGGCAGCGGCCAATGAGTCCAGCCAGCAAGGTGGCAGAGTAGTGGTAGTGGTCGAGCAGGGTAGTTAATTTTGCCAATTGGCCAAAAGTCACAAAATTTTATTGTTTTATGAAATTCTTGATCTAATTTTGTGGAGGCCAATTAGCAATTAGGGAATGATGGGAGTTTTTACTTTTATTTATTTTGTAGATTATATATTATATGGAGCAGTATGAGATCAGATCACTACGATGAACAATGTCTTCTGGTGTACTTCGCTGGTCAGATGTATATTTCAGTAGATAATTAATCAAAAATCAAATGAAAACCAATGTCTACTAAGATTTGCAAATTCACAGCCATCTAAAACTTTGAAAAATATGTATTGGCACTGAATTTTTAATCAAAGTTTGTGAAGAGAAACTTCGATAGTTAGGGCAGCTTTCATACACGGGTCACCAGCTCAAGGTCTGGTGAGACCAAATTACAAGGGCATGTGAACCATTAATTATGAAGTCTATGAGATTAAAATATAGGAGGTTCACATTCCTTTGTGATTGATTTACAGATGACGTGATAGGAGCGTCTTTATGCCTACTTTTTCTTGAATTGGAGGAACATTGAACAAATAACGAAATGACATTATATTATATGATTATTATTTAGTGTCATGCAATTCTCTTCTTGATGAAAAATTTGTAACACATACTTTATACGAAGGAAATGATTTTAGTGCACCAATTTTTTTTTTGGCATACTCTGGTTTATTTATGTTCTTTAATTTTTATTTATTTTGTCCGATCCAAATGCTAAAAAGTACTACTCTGCACTAAAAAAAATATGTAAACATTATTTTCCTTTTTCGAAATTATTTTGAACTAATTAGGTTTAGTTCAAATATTTTTTAATCTTTGTGGACAAATGAAGTTTAAGTTTTAGTTAAATGGTCCAATTTTTTTTTTTTTTCTGAGAGTAAAATGAATTTCATTCAATACAACGATTACATCAACGACATGTAAATGGGAAGGTCTCTAAAAAAATCTTAACCGAGTAAAATCCAATGGGAAACCCCAATTAAGGAAAAAGGGACCATACATGCACATTACAATTAAAAGAAAACTAATAAAAAGAGTTTGAAAACTTTGAGTTTTAACAATGAGAACAAAATAAAGGGTCAAATGAATAGTACAATGATTGATTTTTTAGTGTAAAAATATGATTTTTCGTTAAAATGAACAGTACCAGGAGATTTTCGTTAAAATTCTCTACAATTAAACCTCATCTGCGGACTCAGTCAGAATACACTGCATAAGCCGAGGTGGTCCTGACTCAACCCAAAACGATAAATTCCGACATTGGAAACTATACCCGGCTAATCGGTGAGTCACATTATTTGCATCCCGCGGTGCGTAGGACACCGTTACCTGGTTCTCTTGTATTAGAGACCGTATCCCATCAACGTAATGGTCCAATTATACAGCTATGGGATGGTGAGTTGGAACGGACTTTATTCCCATCACTGCCTATCTCAAAGCCAATCGATCCTCCATCTTTGTACTTAAACCAAAACTTCTATCCGTACGAACTGGTCCTATATGGACAAGAGGTTCTCCCCCTTTCTTTAGGTCCCTTCTCTCTAATGAAAAATATCAAGACAAGTAGAGAATTCATTCCCTAAAAATTTCTTTCTTTCGATCTAATCTTTTACACCTTGGCAATAATAAGTGATGGATTAAGAATATAAGATTCGCTACCGCTACGTTTCTTCTCGATGTTGGAAGAGATTTCAAGTATGAATTAAATTTCTTATTTATCATTGATAAAGAGAGAAGATTTAAGACCTAAGCCTAATTTTTTTTTTTTTTTTTTTTGGCTAATTAGGATCTTTATATTCTTCTAAGAAGAACTTACATGCTAGGAACGCAGGGTGATAATATTTCAAACTAATTGTGTGTTGTCATATGAATATGTTAAAACACATGACGAAGTATTATGAGCATAGAATATCATTCCAATTTGGCATCGCTCCCCAAATTAGGGTTTTATGAGCTTTTGTCCTCTACTCTGGATCTTCATCTTCTATTTGAGAATAACTTACATGCAACTAAATCACTAAAGCAAAATATCCATGAAATTATCGATATTTCTGAAATATCCAAAAAATCAAAGATCGATATGGAAAGGGGAGGTGAAATGCAAACTTCACCCTATATTGACGATAAAGAGGAAAATCAATGAACATCGACGATGTTTACCGATTAACTACAAAATTATGCCGGAATCCATTGTAGATTTTGAACTTTTACATATTTTTGAGAAAATTTTCTCTAATTTCGACTAAATCTAAATGAGTTGATATTTCCACCCCATTGCAAATTTCCGTTCAAGATATTTCTCTAAATTTACATATCGATATCTTCACCACATATCGATATTTTAAACACGGGCTATACTATGTGAGTAAAACCAACACAAATAAGAGTGTTATAGACTTCGAATATCTTCTCAACTAGAATGCCAAAGTCACAGTATCACAAATCAATTATCACCCTCATAGAACCTAGGGTTTATTGTGATCTTAATCCTCTTATCGCGGATTTATTTGAGCCGTGAATCAATGGTCCATGCACTTAAGAAAGTTGCATGCATGACTCAGTTACTGCTGTAAAACAGTGGAGCCTAGTCCTCTATGATTGCAAGTTATGCCAAAGACCAAGTGAGAGAAAGGTCGACATTTTCCAAGGTGTCGTTGTATCAACAATAAGTGAACCCTGGACCACCCACTATTTGTGCCTCTTGGTCGAGTACCACTTCTTAGCAGTTAGCAGGTACTTGCATTGAATTGAAGGGAAACCTTTCATCAATTGGACAGGTGCATGGCTATGGATCTGATGTGAAAAGTCGGGGCTAAGGGGGAAGAAATGGACGATTTATTCGTTTCTTCTTGTTTTGGGGTGGATGTAACGTAAAATCATGCGACATATGTGGATCATATAATAGAGTGTACTGTGTTAGCAAAAAAAAAGTTGGTAGATTCATACCGATCACAATAAATATGAGTAAAATATGATCCGTAATAATATAGTTCTTTCACATTGCAACTCACCGCATTTGCTTAAAAGTGCAGTAAATTTTTTGACCGCATATCTTTAATTGTAAGGTTGAAGTATCACCAATAATAATATCAAATACATATCCACACATTAAAAATAGTGAAATTAATCACATCATAGAAAAAATCATTATATATTTATGACTGAGAATAAAACCACATATTGTAATTTTATGACGAAAAATACTGTGACACACCCCGACCTAAATCGAGGCATGCTGGCCGTCACGTGATGGGTGACGTAACTATGTGTGCAGTGCGGAAGTGACAATGATATGAAGATGTGAGAAATCGAAAACCAATTAACCAATGCACACAAGACAAGTAAAGAAGTGCGGGAAGAAGTATTAGAGTGTAGATACACATAATCAGAGCGTAGGTACCAAGGTGCAGTCCAACAGGCTAAATACTAATTATACATGGTATAAAAGAAAACCATACTTTGATGGATGTCTGTCAGAACCGCCGTAGAGTCCTCGTGAGCCACCAACACACACTTCTATCTAGAACCTGGAGGGGCGCAAACAGAAAACGTGAGTGGGCAGAAACAAAGCTTTTCAAAACCATTTCTCTTTCCAAAAGTAATAACCCCTCACCGTAAAACTCGTATAGTTTCCCAAAAAATAAAAATACATACGTGTATAAAAATCACGCTCGAGAGTAGTGAAAATCAAATATATGCCATGTCAAGTGTCCCAATATGGAAATAAGTAAGCCAGGTGAAATAAATCAATGTAAAATGATACGCCAACCGGAGTCACCTAACGTGACTTGTACGGCTGAACCTATATCTCATCAGATATGTCTGCACACGAGTCAGAACCACCTATTATGGTCTATACGACAGGGCTGGGTGCAAATAAGTACGCTCAAGTGCTACGATCACGTGAAGGCTGTGCGAATAATCGCAGGTCACTTACGAGTTAGAACCACCTAATGTGGTCTGGATTTGGCATAGATTAAAGGGATCTTAAGCCCTAATTGGGCTGCATGTTTAGGGCTAACAATTGACCCCAAAACAAACATAAAATTCCAAGAAAGTAGGAGGTGTGGTGATTGGTCCATTTCCTTAGCCCAATTACACAATCGTTTATTCGTAACATTTTCGTTACGAGCCCAACTCGGCCCTAAATCGCATCAACACTCTCGTGACATCGAGTATGATTTAATTATGTCAACGGAAAAATAATTTAAAACCATATACATACATCCACGTCACTACAACTCGAGGGTATAATCGTCATTTCCACACATTTGAGGATAAAATATATATTAATTCGGGATAGATTGTCACATACTGTCTACAATTTGTTTGTTGTTAAACAAAGTTTTAGGAGAAACAATGAATTCTTAGGGTTTCCTTAGTGATTTCGGATAACTAAAAATAGCCTTTTGGAGTTGTGATCATCATTTCATCATTATCAACGAAAATTTTCTCGTCCCAAGTGAATTTCAAATTGTGTTCCAAAACGTAACACTTGTTAACCAATAACAGAAGTGGACAAGACAAACCCTAGCGCGTTCTCAAGGCCCTGGTTTATGAAACCCACAACACTTGGCCCAAACCAAAATAACTTCTTCCTCTAAAATAGTGGCTTTTTGAAGAATTCAAATGATGGGACAACGGCTAGTAAAATCCACAAGATGTCGCCGAGTAGATCCACTTCTTCAGCGCCGCTCGTATTTCATCATCATGCAAGCGGAGGAGCAGCAAGAATTCAAAATCAACGTTCAAGCCAAAGCCAAGAACTTCGATTTCAAATTCAAATCGACACAAATCGTGCCCGCTTGGAAGCTCCAACGTCTCTCGATTTCCCTCAAGCTTCGCAATTTTTTCCTGAGAGTGAATTCAGAATCCACAGTTCATCAAAGAACAAAACAGAATTCAGAATCAACAGCGTTAGTATCTAGGTGGCATCCGCAGCAGCGGAAACAACCCCTGAAATCCAGGACCAGATTCCTTAAAATCATCAACAAACTACGCATTTGGCACGCTAGGAAACCTCGGTACCCAGAAGCTGAATCCTCTCTAAATCGACTGAAACAGTTTGCTTATGAGGTATATGTGTATCACAGTTTGACACGTACATACACATTATTTATTATTTATTATTTTGCATGTTTATGAGTTACTTTTGAACGTATGTCAAATCTCAAACTATTATTGCAGGAAACAGTAAAAACAGTGTTGCTGTGGTATATAAAGATCCAATATTTTTGTTCAAGTTTTAAATTAAATTTTTTTGTTGACTAGAGCTGTCGCATTTCTACTTGAATCAATTACCAGCAGACCTAGAAAAGGAGTAACTGTGTGTAGTTTGGTCATCGTCTTGCTGCTTCCAGTGGCTTGGAACTATGCCACTTATGGATGGTCGAAGTTCTTAATTTGATTCACTTGTTGTATAACAAGATGTTATGAGGATTTTGGGGTTTAATTTGAATTAGTTTTGAGTGCTTAGATCTTGGTGTTTATTAGTGAGATGTGATTTGGTATCTTGTATCTCGAGAGCATAATTAACTGACTTAACACACTGTTCTAATACGAAGAGTGTAAGAAGACAAACACTCTATTCTAATCAACTGACTTAACACATTGTCCTAAAACAAAAGGTAATCTTGAAACAAAAGTGGGAGCATAATGGCTAAATATCACTCTCCTAACTCTCGACATCTCCCATGATTAAAATACCATTAGTCCAATTTCTCTAAAATGAGAAGTTGGGTTTTTAAATTCGTTTGGGCTCCATCTTCTTTCTTATTCTAAATATTTGGTAAACACATAAATACTCTAAAATATTTGGTAAACACATAAATACTCTATAATTGAAATCTAACATTTTATTTCAATTTGGATTACGATTAATAAACACGCCATTTGCTTAGGGTGACGTTGTTGGAGGCATGCATACTTTCAAGTCAATAAGACTGAACCTTAAGTAAATGAGCTATCTTAATAGGCCCATGTGAGTAATCATTGGACTCACTTAAATCAGCCCACATTGGATCTTTCTTTTAGTCCAAGCCCACATTGGATTTTGAGTTAAGCTTGTGCCATTCGAAAACAAACCTAGATTCAGCTTCCAAATCACAAAAGAACTTTTCAACAGCTCTCATGAATTTCATCACTACACGTGCAAGAGAAAGTTTTTGGGTTTACTTTTCGCTTTGGTCAATAAAATTCTACTAATCCTTCATTTTGGAGATCAAATTTTCCGCATTCAAAATGAATGTGGTCTTTCTATGACCTCAATCTTTGACATGTGTTTATAAATTTAACTTTTCTTAACTTTGTTGTCAGAAAGTTAACATGTGTCAGATATTAATTAGGGGCACAGAGAGGAGATTGTATCGTTTTGGATGCAGAAGATTTAATCTCTCCATATTGTACCTATGTATCTTGTTGCAATGTGTTAATTTCTTTTCGCATATGTATTACTTAGAGAATGAAGCGAATTTAGAAAGAAAGAAAAAACAGCAACTAGTAGGGTGGGCCCTTAGAACCGAAAATTGAAACTGAAACACGAACCAAATCGAATCGCACCGAACAGTTTGGTTTTGCGGTTTTGAAACGGTTTCGGCTTTGAAACCGAACCGCAACATAGAAAACGGTTTAGTTTCGGTTTTGGCTTTTGAAAATCGCACCAAAACCGAACCGCACCGCAAATATTAATAAATATTTAATTAAATGTCCATATTAGATTTCATGTTTTAAATGGTTGTTTGTTAGAATCTATACACTTAGTATGGACTTAACCACACTAGAATACCATCATTCATCACTTTCTTTCGTTCATTAACTTGAAGGACCTTTGTTATTTTATACCATCACACACATATATGTACAAGGGTGGACTAATCTTGTTATCAAGAGTCGAACAATGATCTAATGAAGTCCATTCATTTGAAGCATGATATCACATATTCTAGTATGAAAGTGTCACATCCCGGCCCCACTCCACCACCGTAGCATGATATTGTCCGCTTTGGGCTTACCATTCCCTCACGGTTTTATTTTTGGGAACTCACGAGAAACTCCCATCATGGGATTGCTCTAGCCCCCTTCTCGCTTAACTTCGGAGTTCCTACGAAACCCGAAGTTAGTGAGCTCCCAAAAGGTCTCGTGCTAGGTAGGGATGAGAATATACACATAAGGATCACTCCCCTGGGCAATGTGGGATTTTACAGAAAGTTTCGCTTACGTTTAATGAATTCAAATTTATTCAACTTGTTTTATGATAAACATTGTAAGGCACACTCTTTTGTTGCACAAACATGTTTTAACATCACAATTGCATGTAACATGCTAATTGTTTACATAACAAATGTCTTTTTCCTATTGTTATTGAGAAATGCTTATTAATATGTTAAATTGCAAATTGTACATTTTTTTTTAAAACCAAACCGAAACCGTTTGAAACTGCACCAAACCGAACCAAACGGTTTGATTTCATTTCGGTTTTGATTTCAAAACCGCACCGAACCGAATCGCAAAAAATTTCAATTTCAATTTCACTCAAAACCACACCAAACCAAACCGTGCCCACCCTTAGCAACTAGCGCTCTTCTTTGATTTCTGCCTTCTTTAATAAAGATTCAAATATCAGGAGCTGATCTGTTACAACTAATCATAAACCGTCCATTCAAAGATTCATCGTATTCAAGTCAATTTAGATACCTTACATTACATTTTATCTAATCATTTCAATTTCAGTTATTGTAACAGAAATCACCAAGACAAGTGTAAAGTGGGAAACGGCCGAACGGGGGTGCACACGGACCACGAATGGGGTTGATGATAGGGAATTAGTCCTCTATGCGTAACACAAAATACTCCCCTTTGCTTATTAAAACGACAAACTACAAGAAAATGAGTTGATGTCAGTGGGACCCAGGTGCTCTGTTTTGTAGGCCACATTTCGGCCGTCGATCTGCCGGCACGCGCACATCGGACGGGGGAGGTCGGGAGTCAAAGACCTATCCCGATAGGTTTCTTTGACCACACTGGACACATGCCCTTTTAAATACAAATTAAAATTTCAAAAACTTTGACTGGGATGTCATTTCAATCGAGGCGTTCTTCGTTGAAAATCGTGCTCAATCTTCGAATTTACCATTTTGGTCCTCTATCTCTCTCTCATATTTTGTGGCTGCAAGACACTTTTTAATTGCTACTTATGTAACTGTTTAGCAGTGTGAGATGTTTTAAGTTTGATTCTCGTTAAAAACGAATTTGAATTAAATTATTATAGCTAATTCATTTTAAACTTATTCTCTCAAATTTTAACAGCTGAATTGAATGAAATGACGAAATTAATCGACAATAACTAATTAGAATGTGTGAGAGACAACAACCAACATGTAATATCACTACCCCTATACAATTCAAGCATTTCTAAGCGATGCTTTGAAAATCATGGTCGGTCACTTTCATCGCCATTAGACCAACTAAGGCTTGAAAAACAATAATTTAAGAGATTTTACTATTCATAGAAGTAAGCTCGTTTCAAACTGTTTTTGTTTAAAAACACTTATGGTCGTAAGCGTTTAAATTGAACTAATTTGATTTGACTTATTTTGCAATTTTAATTAAAGTACAAATGCTTTTTAGTATTAGGTGATTTTGCTGAAACTACTTCTATGACCTAAAAACATTTCTAAGTTTCGATGTCAGGATATTATCAGAAGTGATTTTTATTAGCAAAAAGCAACTTCAACCCCTGTATTAATATTCCTACGTAAACATTAAAAATCAGTCAAGAATTTGTAGTAAGTCTTCATTGATATGAGCATGAGTTGAATCTAAAGACAAACTGAGCTTTAATTGTACCACAAATCATTAATTTCTTTGGTGTGATTATTGAAGAGTTCAAAAGCCAAGAATAATTTGTTCAAAACCTATAACAATAAGAGAGATGATAAGGGGGCTGTTTATAGACTCTCTGCTGCCTCATGCTTTTAACATCATATTTCATAATATCTGCACAGAAATTAACGTTAAATAGTGAGGTGACAGAAAATTTGTGGAGAATCCCTCTTTGATGATGATGACTCATTATTGTTAGCATTTCTTACACCTCCAATACACAATCATGCAATAGAAAACAAGTTTATTGATACAAATAAAACTCATTTTTCCTCAAGGCTTGTATTTACTCAAATATGAGCACAAAAGTTTATGGTCATTTTCCCAACTTCAAAGCACAAGGGCAGCCTAAATGATCCTCTAGGTCCAATCTCTGTTTAAAGAAAAACTATACAATGTAAAAGAAATACATCTGATATATCAAGTATCGTGATACAATTTATTGAAAATTTTCTTTGAAAGTTTCAACTTATTATATTATTATACTTGTTGTATCGAGCATGTTCCCGACACACTGAAAAATCTCGTCTACATAAGATTATGTTCATTGCTTCAAGGGCAAAATCGTGAAAAAGGAGAAAGCAAATTCTGCTGTTTTAGGATAATAATAATAATAATGGTACTTTTTAATGTTAATTAAATAATGGTTTTTGGTAGGTTTGACCACTGCTCATTGGGCTCCCTTCCTTTTTCAGGCTCCTCTCTCTCTCTCTCTCTCTCTCTCTCTCTCTCCCAATTCCAATATTCCCAAATCATCTTTTGTCTACTTTTCTCTCCCTCTCTAAAATCTTTCTCAGTTCCCTCGCCTTTCCCAATCTGCTTTCTTTGACTTGTTTCAGGCTCTTTCTCCTCCAAAATATAACCCATATATTCTAATTTTTCATTTCTCTCAATCCATTTGAAGCTGCATGAAAGCTGGTAATTTTTTCTTCTTTTTGTCTGTTGAATTGTATTATTTAATTGCTTTATGTATTTTCATTTCACTGTTCTGTTTTGCTCTTTGAAAGCTTGTAAAGGTGAATTTTTGTCCCTTTTTTTTCTTCCTGGTTGAGATTTTCTCGAGAAAATTCTGGGCGCGCGTGTTGTGGGATTCATTTGTCTGTCACTTTTTTTTGGGTATGCTGCCGATTGGATTATATTGTACAAATGGGTAATTTTGTTTCAGCTCCTTGGTGATTATCCAATTGTGATTTATTGGTTTTTGTCTAATTTTTGGGATAGAATTTTGGGGTTTTATGGATCTGGGCTGGGAATGTTTGTGAAGTTGAATGGATGCTAATTGATGGGTAATTTTTTAATTTTTGAAAGGAGCAAGAATCGATTAATGGGTTCATAGTTTGATTCCTTGAAATTTAGTAGAAAAATTGTTCACTGGAGGAGAATATTATGTAATTTGCAAGTTGGCATTTGGGAGATTTAGGTATATAAGTGATGTGATTTGGATTTCCACTCATGATCTTCGTTTTCCAGATTTCTGCAGTAGAATGCATCTGTTTCAGAACCTCACTGTTTAATTGGATGCCCTCAATTACTGTTGTTTTTATCATTTTTTGGAGAAGATGCATATTCCATCTATCAGTCAATTAAATCGGGTTCTTTTGTTTCAAATTTGTTATCTGATTATCCAGTTTAACATTATTCCTGGACATAACTTTTTGATGTTCTTTTCGTAGAGTTTCGATTGGTTCGTTGGTTTCGTTTTCGTGCACATAAGCTAACATCATGTCCACTTTGTTTCTCTGTCGCAGAAAGTTAAGGCCGTCTACACGCAGAAAAAAGTTTTGAACATAATATGGGGTGCTTCACAGGTTTGAAGTGCAAAAAGAAGAAGTCTGAGCAGACTATTTATAATAAGCGTGTCCCGAAGGAGCAAAAACCAGCTGCATTGCCTGAACCCCAAATCCAGACCCGATCGCTACAGTCTGCACCCCCAAGTTTTAGGAACAGAGTGAAACCTATTCAACCAGTTAATAGAGTCATCAGCAATAGAGCACGAGCATTATCAGCTCCATCGACCCTTGATGCAGCAGACCAAGACGATCTCTCTGAATATGAAGAACCAGAAGACTCAAAGTACCGGCCTGGAATAGTGAAAGAACAATTGTCACCGGTTCCCCAACCTCTTCCTCTCCCATCGCCCCAGGTTGCCGCTGCACTGAGAACTACGGGAAGTTTTAAGTCAGTGACTAATAGTGGCCCTCTCTATGCTTCTGGACCATTGCCACTCCCTCCTACGGCAGCACTACCTACTGGAACAATACCTACTGGAACACTACGGAACTTTTTATATGAAGAAATAGCATCAGCTTGCCACAACTTTTCTTCAGACCGATGCATGTCTGAAGGCCTTTCTTCTATTATATATAAGGCTTCCTTTGGAGATGATTCATTGAGTTCAAAAAAGTTTGAAGCTACTGTTACTCGCCTTCACCCATCCACTCAGGTAGCTTATAAAATATTCAGTTGATTAGATGCAGATTTCTCATGTTTTTTGGCCCCTGGTTGAATTTTAGACTAACTTTGAAGGTTGATAATTGAATCTTATAGAATTACTTCTACTTGTGGGTGAATTTTTAGAGTTTTATCTATTTAGGGATTTACAAATGGACCCATTAGTATGTAAGTGTTCCAAGAAATAAATTATGTTTGCCATAATATAGGAGGTAATTGAGAATATAAGTAGCATCTCATGTTTTTACAGTTTACACGATGCGGTGGACTCACCTGTTTTGGGCCCAAGTTCTGCATTCCTCATCTCAAAACATGTTTTCACATTTATCTTCTTTGATATCCAAGCGCATATTAAATGCCTTGTGCTATGGAACAATGTTCCAATCATGTGTTTAGGAATTGCTTCTGCTCGTATACTTCAGATTGTTTGCGAAATAATCCCACTTTCTTTTTTCTTCTTTTTAGGGTTTAAGGGAGTTCATAAATGAGATAAACACCCTTGCAACTTTGCAACATCCAAACCTCTGTAAATTGCTTGGCTTCCATGCACGTGAGGGTTCGGAACAGAAAATGCTGGTGTATGAGAGGCTCTTTCATGGAAGTTTAGACCGCCTTTTGTATGGAAGATCAGAGAAGCCTCCGATAGACTGGAATACAAGAATGAAAATTGCTTTATGCGCTGCACAAGGTCTTACTTTCTTGCATGAAGAAGGGCCTTTCCAGGTAATTAGAACATTTGCTTGAATCTGTTTTTCAAAGACAGTTGAAATAAACGAAGCATGTATAATGCATTATGTAGCTGATATTGCTAGTTGCTCGTTAATTTAGTAAATGCAACTCTTTTTACACTTTCACCTTAGTGTCAAAATGTTCGTAGTGTTTAGATGTTTTAAGTAACTGTCTTGTACAAGATAATGTCATCGCATGTATCCCTACATCTCTGTGATGACTGAATTACCTCACATATCTGCAGGCAATGTACAATGAATTTTCAACCGCCAACATACAGATTGATAAAGATTTTAGTGCAAAGCTTTCAGGATATGGTTGTGTCGGCCAAATTCCCGAGGCAGAGATCTCCAATAGTTCCGTTGTAAGTTTGTTGATTCTGTTTACACTTCAGAGTAGTTATTACCTATTAGTCTTCAAACCTTGTCTGTAGGCACTAATTTCCCACACAAACTTACAATTTCAACATGATCTGATACATCTCTAAAATGAGTAACCTTTCTTCTTATCATTATCCAGGCAGTGGCAAATCTATCAGTGGAGACACTCGAGAGAGGAATGCTTACTCCAAAAAGCAATGTCTGGAGTTTCGGAATTGTTCTTCTGGAACTACTCACTGGCCGGAGGAATCTAGACAGCCGTCACCCCAAGGAAGAGAGGAATTTAGTTAAGTGGAGCCGGCCTTTCTTAGCCGATGACTGCCGACTTTCGCTAATCATGGATCCTCAGCTGAAAGGTCGCTTCCCATCCCAAGCAGCCAGAAGGGTGTCAGACATTGCACAGAAATGCCTTCAGAAGGACCCATCAGAAAGGCCTACCATGAGAACCGTAGTTCAGCATCTCAAGATCATACAAGACATGAAGCACTCGTGCAGGTTTCCATTGCAAGAGCCAGCATTTGCCGGAAAACACATGTCAAGATCACCCAGCCTTAATGGAATTCTTACCCCTGCGCCTCGGTTAAGTTTCTCTCCTTCACCACCATCAGCCACCCGTCCATCCATTTCACCTACAAGACGACCTGCCCTACTTACGGCTCTACCTCCACGTGCTTGCTCCTCCACTCTCACCTTTGAGGGGCTAGACCGGCAGGAAAGCCAAAAATCATCATCATCGACTGTTCCTAGGGCTAGTGTTGAGGGATTTTGATTGTTTATAATGTGCCTTTTTTTCATTTTATTTTTTCATTTGTTGTTTGTCGTGATTCGACACAATATATAGAAGATAAAAGATGTGATTCCACCTTACTGTCGCCTCGTCTTGCAGACGACGAAACAGTGAGGATGTCCTCTTGTAGATATAATGCATCACTGGTTGGTACTAGTAAACATCTAGTTTCCCTCTCGACTACTCGAAATCCAATCAATTCAGTTTCTGTTTTTCAAGCCGTCTCATCGATTTATGTTTAAGTATGCGTTTTTGTTTAATACAAGCGATATTGTTACTTTAATTTAAACTAGGTGAAAGATTGAAAGGGAAGGATTTGAATTCAGGATGCATTTATGTACGTCGAATATGTGTAGATATAAAATATGAAATATAGAGACGAGAATTTGAATTTGAGACTTATTTTTGGCACATTAATTTACAAGTTAATTTTAATGTAACGTACATTCACACTGAGCTAAAAACATTTAGCAAACAAAAGAAAACAAGCACAAAATGTCTGTAATTATACAAGAAACAAGTCGACAAAAATTTCGAAAAGAAAAACACCTGGAACTTCATCATAGAGGGTCATCTTGGCTTTTATCCGGCCTTTCTTCACCCCCGCTTTCCTGCTCTGGACAGCGATTCTCATCGAGTTGTTCCTCAGTCTCATTAGCGGCTTGTGGGGGAACATGTGATGTCGAACTTTCCTGTTGCTCAGATATCAAGCTGGTAATACCATTGTGTTTCATATACGTCTCAAGAGGAAGAGTTGCTACTTGAACAAGAGATATCATACTCACATGGTCTGGCCCTGCTTGTAAGTCTCCTTCTCGGCCTGGATGGGAATTCAGGTCTAGTATTCCCTTCCCAGTTTCAGCCAGTTTGCTTTGGCTCTTGGTTTCTGATTCATTTGCAGACTTGGCCTTGTTGTCTGAATGATCAAAGTGTGATGATACAAGCCTAGAAGTGCTGTCTACTTCTGCTTCATCCCTAGGGTTCCATGTGTGCTGGCTTCTGTACGCAATCTCTGCTTCCCGCTCTGATTGGCGTTTCTTCTTGTTGATCATCATGGTTTTAAAACGGCGTTTGACGGTCATGCACACATTGCATGTGCATGTAGGCTTATGTTTGCCCTTTCCACTTGGGGGCTGGATGCACACAATGCATGAGCAGCCAGGACGATGCCTGGGATGTTTTGTTGTTGTAGCAACTGATGCAGCTTCTGGATTGGCCACACTGTCTCCGAGTATTGCAGCATTGGCCAAAGCATCAAGGCCAGAAGCTTCGTGCTCCGGGGTTGGCCTAGGGTCTGCCACTATTCTCCTTTTCTTGGATTCTGTAAAACAATACATTAATTCAAACATTTTCTAGATATATTTTGATGAGAAATTTGAACTTTTAATTTTCGCAAGAAGAGTGTAATTCTACAAGAGTTGGGAGACTCGGGACCATAAATGTAGAAGTAAACGGATGATATATGATCCTTAAAAATTATGAGAGAGAATTAAGATGGCATCATACCCTTACACATTCTGAGAAAATTTTCCAGTTCCCTTGGGCTCAATTCATCTGGTATAGAGCACAAAGACCTGACGAGACAAAGTTAGAGACATGTTAAGCACTTCTGTTACTGCAAGAAATCCCGTGGAATAAAAGAAAAAATTGCTAACCTGCTTCGATCCCAAGCATTGTCTGCGCATATCCACTTAGATGAAAGTAATGCATCAGCTGGCAATCTTCGCCATTTAGAGCAACTATCACACTGCACCCATTGCTCTTGTTCCCTAAAGAATCAGAAATTTTCAATTGAATTGGTACAGAACAAATTGTGTAACGAGTCTAATGACAGAGGAGAATTTTCTCTTTGTACGTTCTTACCCAGTTGACCGGACTGTGAAAATACTCCTCTTTCCAAACACTGGAGGTTCCTAAATAACACAAATTTATAGTTATTAATAGCCATGCGATCTATGACCATCAAAGTAGCATCTATCATTAGAAATAACTGCGTACATATATCAACAGTATGTTCTCTAGTGACCTGGAAAATCTCAAATACAGCACTTACTTCATATTCTTCGAACTCCAGATCCTCAATCACAACAGTGCTTGGCTTGGAAGCTGGAGGTGGACGAAGCAAATCCTGAGCCTCTTCCCAAGTAAGCTTCAGCTCTAGAGCATCTTGGCTATCAATGAGCAACCTCTTACTCTTGGACCCTATATTTCTAGTTCTTTTCCTCTCAGGAACTAATGATGGCATCAGCAATCCTTCCGTTGTCCTCCCTTCCTGCTTCTCGGTTTTATTCCAGCTAATATCACCACTAGCTGTAGTCAAGTGTTTCGACAGTGCATTTAGATGGGGATCTATGCTTCCCTTAAGTGACTGAAGAAGGCCAGGGTAACCACTTATTACAGGAAGGTTCTCAAAAACACCCGAAAACAAGGTTTCACTTGAGTGAGGGCCATTCTGAATGGCAGTAAGATGGGTATCCTGTTTATTTTAATAACTTGCATATCAATAATATATTATCCATTTTGTTAATGTGACAAATGAAAGAGGCTTTTACCTGCATTGAAACAGTATTTGATGCTTTTCGAAACCCCATAATTAGTTTTCCTTCAGGATCCATACGACTGAAAGTCACTGTACAAAAATTAATAAAAAAAATATCGCATAAGTAGTGTAAAACATTTCTCCACCAAAAGTGGTTTTCGCTAATTACCCTGGAAAATCATTTAGAAAGACAATAGGGCCCGACAAACGAACTTTTTTTCTTTTTTCAGAATGCACCATAATCAAAGGTCCAAGGTCCCAAAAGGCCTTCCAGTGGAGTAAAATAAAATCCCAAATCTACAAACACACACACGCACTTGCAAAAACATATAAACTAAACAAATGCAGTCACTGAGAATTACCAGTATCTCCAGCCTGCAACTGCATGGACTGTATGCAGGGCGTCACACCCTCCAAAACATACATCCTACTGTTGTTATTCGGCCAGAATCTGAACTGAAACACCCATTCTTTTCCCTTCACATCTTGAATCCTTAAAGGAAGGCCCTCCGGTTGAGAGATGGGAGGAAAATATGCCTGCACAGTGGTTTATACTTGACTGTAACAAGAGCTTGTAGAGAAAAATATGGTAATGAAACAATAAAGATGAAGGGTATGACCACAAACATCAGAGAAATGTTGGGATTATAAACTAGAAAACTTACTTCAGCACAAGCTTTAGGGAGCACCAAACGACCAATTCGACCAGCATCACTGGCACTTAGCATTTTTTCAAACAAAGGAACAATTGTGGAATTTGAACTTGATCGAAGTTAAGGAAGTCACAGGCTGAGTTAGAGGGATAATCATGAAAAATTTCCTTATTTTATTTATAGTTTTGATGAGGTAGTAATTAACTTATGAATAAAGCAAGAAATGAAATATGGATACTCTCCAGATATTTGCTGTAATTCCTGGTCTGTAATCCTGGGCCAATAGCGGGGAAGTAGCTGATTCCGTCCCCGTCCTTCGGCAGGTGGCCTTGCCACACGTGCATGTGAAACCATTGTAGAATTTTCCTCCAAACCTGTGGAAAGGGCCAATTTGGGAGGCTTTGGAAAAAGATGTCGAGACCTAGCTCCTGGTGGGAGTGGAGAGGATGTCATGCTGTGCTCCCCTTCATCAACAATGGCACTAGGAAAAGGATTTTCTTTTCCCAAAGGTGAACCGAGGGTCATACTCAAATTCGTACGTGGAAGTGATTCATATAAATTATTTATCCCCAAGTTTGCCTTGAAAGCTTCTGCTGTGGAAGCTTCAGCTGATCCATTGGATGCCTGATTGAAATTTGAAAAACATGTGCCTCCAATTTCACCCCCAGGAGGTGGAACCTCATCATGTTTCCATTTGAGCATTAACCCTTTTGTGTCGTTGTTCCGAAGTTGAAGCAAGTTCATAAGTCCATTACAATCTTTATTATTTCCCAACTGCACAAGCTTCAACTTTTCAACACTATGTCCATCCAATTGATTGTTTGTAATATTTGACTGCAGCTCACTCATTTTGGGCGTGCCAAGACCATCAGGCTTTTCATCACTTGAAATCTGTGTGAATGCATTTCAAAAATCATCACAGAGTACTAAGCTATATGAGTACACTTAAGCATGCAGCATGATACCGCTATAGTCCTAAATGCAGGAAATAACCGAAGTTTTGTGACGGTGGAGAACATCACAAGACTTTGGTGTTGTTAACCAAAATCAGACCATGGACACTTTGTCTTCCATACCAAGAAAGACATACGAATCCTTTTTGAGGCTAGGACTGTCACACCCCAAGGATCACTATAAATATCACAAAATTTACCACCATAACTGTATGTTAAGGTTGACATGATTATAGAAATTGATCTTACAGGGTGAGGTCCCGAATCTTTTGCACATTTTATGCACTTCACACCACCACCGTCAAGAAGATCAAGAAGTAACGTGGAAGCAATGCATCCGCAATGTAGACGCTGCAGTAAACAAATTTATTGAGTGCAAATGGTTGAATGGAAGAGCCAAAGTAAGAGGAAGAAGTCAAGAAACCAAACACGAAGTTATTTCTTTGTTGGGTATACGCTCACCATGCCACATACTCCGCACTCCCTCCAACCGGATTCATTTGAGTGGAAAACATCACAATAAATTGATTGCTCATATGCAGACCTAGTGTCGACGCCAATTTCATATCACAATACCAGTCATAAATCTCTCATGTCATATTGCTATGTCAAATTTATATACAGAATGATAGCAGCAAGAAAGTTAGAAACAAACAACCATAAATGATCCACGCGAAAGCATTTAGAATACATGTTATCATAGCTTCTAAAATGCAATAGTATTCTACATTCTCTCCGTCGGAATAGGTGTTACCATAGCTTTACATAATTCAGTGGTACTGAAGAATTAAATGTATCTTAGATTTTAATTATCAACGTTTATTATTACATCAAATCGAATATTACGGGTTAAATTGTATTATTCATGTAGTTTGAATAAATACGGATGTAAGAGATACAACAAATAACAAATAAAATGCCAAAATAAACCAGCAAAATCGTGGAAAAATAAAAATAAAAATCCAAACAACAGCTACAATTTATCATGTAGCCGTAAAAAATAAAAATCCAATAAGTACATGAATTAAAAAATAAATAAAAAATCCAAATCCAGAGGTGTAAAATTTCATAAAGTTGAATAATTTAAGCAAAATCTAATGAACTAATTACCAGCACTTGAGACAGAGATTGGCGAATCCGCCAGATCGCAAAGCCCAACCTCTCTTCCACTCGATCGACGTCGAGGTCCCGCAGGCAGCGTTCATGCAAGTCCGCCGCTCCATTTCCGCACTTAAATTCTGTAAATTTTCAACAAATTTCAATCCACTCAGAAACTAATCCAAAAAAATCCCCAAATCTAATCCTCACGATTTCGGAGAAAGCAAAAAACCGAAAATTGACCAATCAAACAGCAAAGCTACGAACAGAGAAGCACAACGCAGAAGAAATCAACCTCAAGCTTGCAGCTTTCAGCTGAACAGAATCAGAACTGCTTCATTTGAGCAGATAGGAGTGGAAGGCGGCGGGGGCGAGTCTGCTACAACTCTGGTTTTTCGGCGGCGGGGGGATTGGTGTTGGATCGGCGATTTTGCCGTGAAGGAAGCGGCGGAATGGTCGAAGACTTGGAGTTGAAATTGGATTCCGGCGAGCTGAGAGATGGATCGGCGGTTGTTGGATAGGGAGAAGGGGAGCGTGTGCATGCAGAGTTGAAAATTGAAATGAAAAATGTACAAAATGCATGCACGATGATGATTATGCTTCAAGACTCGGCCAACTCGCCCACCTTCTCTGCTTTTTCACTTTCACTGTGTTTGGACGTGGAAAATAAGTTTAGAATTTCAACAAAAGTTGAAATTCATGAATCTACATGCATCAATCTTCTTATTTAGATTTGTAACTATGGAAATTTATTCATCCAAACCACCTATCATCGTCACCACCGCGATCATAATTACCACCACCACATAATTATCATGTTGAATTTCTTAGTAATCTCAAATTATTCATCTAAACGCAGTGTTACTAATCATTTTTTATTGAAATTTAAACCAAAACGAAAAGAGAAAATATTGACTTAAATAGATTTATTGTCTGAGATTGAGATGTTGAAGCAAGAGAAACTTACATGCAACTAAAAAATAGACTTACATGCAGTTGATATGACACCGCACTTTGACAAAACCATGAATTAGATAGATTTGTTTTGTAAGATAAATTAGCTAAAGAAGCGAGAGAAACTTACCTTTAACTAGTAGATCTATTTTGTGAGACTGGAAAAGCGAGAAAAATTTACCTATTGAGCTTCCACCTTGATTTGCAACATTTTGAATTAAATACATTAGCCTTGTGAGATATAGCTGAAGAATCAAGAGAAATTTAGGTAGATCTGCTCTATGAAACTTAGTTCACAATGTGAGAAAACCTTACCTATCACATGAATTCCCTCATGAGCTGAAGAAAGTCTTCAAATTTTGAACTATATAGATTCACTTTGTGAGAGTTAGTCGATGAAGCGAAAAAAATTTATTTACACTTGACATATCCACTTTTTGAGAAATTGAGTTCTCAAAGCTCTAAGTGACAAAATATTATGTGCCACATGACTGACAATGTGATTCGAAGAGAACATTAAATTTGATTTACTTTACAAAAGTGAGTTGATGAAGCGAGAGAAACGTGTTGCAGCAGTAATATAAATTCCAATTCATTAAAATATTGTCAAAATAGACGAAGATGTAGCCAAAGTTAGTTAAAGTAATATTTTCCTCTCCGCATGTAAGTTCGAATCATCTTCCGAATAATCTAGGTTAGCTTCAAATGAAGATGTATAAATAAAGCACGATTATATGTTTTCATTTTCAAATATGACATTATGTGATGTACGAAGAATATCACGTTGGTGATATAAGTAAAAAAAGTTAGCACGAAATGTTATACTTGAATCAAAACATAACAAAGAAAAGTCAAGTAAATAAAATAAAAAAGAAAAGTAAATTATCAATTGAGAAATGCTAATGAGGCTTTCTCAAAGTAGTATTATGTATGAATTCTCTGTCACTTCACAGTTTAACGTTAATTCCGTACCAATATTATAAAACATTATGTCAAAAACATGAGATGACAAAAATCCATAAAGAGTATTACTTTTAAAAGAATCTCCTTAACATTTATCTTATCCATTATACAAACGACAGCAGAAGTAGTACCAGAAAATGCGCATCGAGGAGCTTTCCTATCCAATCGTGCATGCAAAAAAAAAACCAACTACGATCACGTTTACTACAATTTAGCGGTATTTCTGTTAATTTGTCGGAAGACCAGATTATGTGTTGCCTCAAGTTTGCGTCCTTTAGTATTTAGAGAGTCTCCGCACTGTCAAACTCCGTGGAGTTACGCGATGGAATGATTAAGCAAATCGCAGCCGTTGACTTGATTTTATATTTATGACGCCATAATAGTAGGTGGTGACGGTATGTGAACCGGATATGTGGGCACCTACCAAAGTGCTGATGGGGAAAGGGCAACGCACGCGCTGTGGACCGAGGAGTCACGCCGCAACGGAACATGCAGCACGTGTTAGGGATGTCGTTTTTAGACTAGAAACGAGTGGGATGGCGTTGACTAATTGTATTGGCTAATGATTGAAACCATGAATGATTAACATGTTAATCAGGAGACTAATCAAAAACAAAAACGACAATTAATATGAATTAGTTGAGGACCTTGAGGTTATCATTGAATATTTTACTGATGGAGGATGTAACAAGTCAAATAAGATATGCTTTTCTCCATCTCAAACGCTGTTTATGGATTGTAATAGAATTGTGGTACATGCAAATTACAATTCGTTGAGGAAATGTTTATAACCAACTAAGCTAATAAAATAGACTAACTTGAATTGAGCTGAGCTAGAAAATTCAGTTTAGTCAGGCTAGCCCTGTACGTATTTCTTATGTTGAATGCCAAGAAGGAATGCGTATTGGGAGTTAGGATGGGTTGGAGAGAAACTTTGAGATGTTATATGTTTAATTACAACTGCAAACAAGGTTATAGTCTTGTGATATTTTTCTTCTTCAATTCTTTTTATAAAAGCGATAACGGAGAGGGAAGAACAAACTTATGACCTCGAGTGCAAAGGTATGTGCTGTAAAATATCTGAGCTACAAGTCTTTTGCCTCTTCCTCACAGTATAAGACTATCTAAGTTCGAATCTGTCTCTTAATGATTTGAAATCACTCATGCCAAATGGGCCTTATATGGACCACCGAAAGTGAGAGAAGTAGAGGAATCCAGGCCCAAGCCCACCGCAAGGCGCGAAGCAAATGACTCCGATGCCGTAGGCCTTATCTAAATTTCCGGCACAATTTACAGAGAAAATCACACACCTTTGCTTCTCAAACAATCCACAGCCATGGCGGGAATGGCTACCTCCTTCAACGTCTCCTCCGCCTCCTCCATCCTCAGCCGTCCGTCGCAGCTTTCGTCGCTTTCGTTCTCGTCCAAGCCGTTCTTTCTTGCCATGCGGAGTTCTTCCCGAACCCCCCTGCGTCTCGGATTTCCCAGTAAACTCCTTTTACTCTCTTACTCTTCGATTTTACTTGTTGCTGAGTTAAATTCATGTAATATTGGTTCTGGGTTAGTGAAATGATGCTTGAATTGTGAAAATTTCAGGGATAATGGCGTTTTCCAGCAACGATATAAAAGTGGGTTCCAACATTGAAGTTGATGGAGCTCCGTGGCGAGTTATAGGTAATTATATTATCTTCCTCTTCTAATACTTTTTTTTTTTTTTTGAATTTTTTTTTTAGTTTAAAGACTTAAAGTCGAAAATTTTGGACTTTGTTCTTATTGGGTATGTGAACATATTGAGTTTTAAGGCTGTAATTCAATTTTATTATGTTTCTTTTTGTTTGATAATTACCAATTTTAGTACTAGTCTCATGGCATTTGTGTTTGTTTTCGGGTAAATTTTACGGTAGACATACTTTAGGGAGCTTGTGTCTTTTAGTTGGTTTATGAGGATCACAATGTACATGTTGGTTTCTCACGGTTTTATGATGGGTATGCGAAATAGGAAAAAATCAAAAGCCTTTTGAATACCATGATGCTAAGCTGATATGAAAACCTTTTTCTTTCTCTGCGTCATGCTTTCGAATCATGTCTTTTGCTTCGAGTAGGGGGCTATTGGTACGTCGAGAGTTGCTTGTGAAGTTCGGGTTGAATATAGGTGTACTCAATTGCCATTTGCCTCTATAACTGCAGGTGTCTGTTTTTGTCTGACTAATATTCCCAATGAGGAGGTTTTTCTTTTCTTCAGGGAAACGACTATTTCCATGATTAATTACGCAGTTTAAGCTTACTGGTTTGCTGTCTGTTGCCTTATGTAGAGTTTCTTCACGTGAAACCTGGGAAAGGGGCGGCATTTGTAAGGACCAAAATGCGCAATTATGTATCGGGAAACACTGTTGAGAAAACATTTCGAGCTGGAAGCACGGTAATGTTTATTGATCAATCATTATTTCTGTGTTCAAATGCATTTGAAGTTTAATATAGTATTTTTTTGCTAACACGTATAACAAAGTCAGCTAAATATGTAGCGTATGACATGGTCTATTTTTGTATTTTTTGCAAGCAGTTTAATCTCAGAACCAAGTTTATATATTCATCTTAACTGATTGTGTGGCATACTTAAGTTTAGTTGTCTTCAAACATATGACATTGTTTAACTTTCAGGTTATATTTGATATCACTTTGTTGTTAAGGAAAGAAAGTTTTCATTTCAAGCATGGAGCGCGTAAAAGTGAATATGGTAGATGTCTATACAATGACATATATACCTTCCCATGTTTGATTGTTTTTGCAGATTAATGAGGCAAATATATACAAGGAAACAAAGCAATTCGTATACAAAGATGGCCCCCAGTTTGTCTTCATGGACCTGGTATTCTTCGTCAGAGTTTCTAATTTACAAAATTAAAGAGCTGTTATTGGCACTCCAAAACAGTCGTCATGCACTCTAACCAAATGATAGAAAAAGGGAAGGAAGAGTGCATGATGACTATTGTGGAGTACTTACAAATTGAGTATTCGGGACAAAACAATGCTCCTCACTTCAGTGTTTAAGACGCATAGCATCTATTCCTGTTATCAAGGGAGCTAGCTGATTCTATTATCTTTACAAGATATTCATAAATATCTTTATTTTTCTATCGTAAACATTTTTTTTCGTTCACTTGTCTCAGACTACCTATGAAGAAACTCGTGTAAATGAATCGAGTATTGGGGACAAAACAAAGTGGCTGAAAGAGGGCATGGACTGCAATTTGCTTCTTTGGAATGATAAAGTACTTTCCTTATTCTCTTTTAGCTATCCATTGCCTTTCAAGCTATTAAATTTCCAGTTTTTTCTGCGAAGTTCATTATGCACTAGATAGATTGTGCCAAGACGGTTATTTTTTTCCGAGATGCAGCTCTTGGGCACTACCTAATGAACTTAGAGCAGTCTCAAGCAGTGTATTTAAAGTCATTGACGTATTGTGATTATACAACTTAGATTCATGCTGAGACGAATCGTGATTATTGGTATCATAATTGTGGTCTTTGAAAAGCAGTCTGCACTTTTTTTGTGTGCTCGCAGCTTATCGATGTTGATATCCCCATCACAGTGCAGCTGAAGGTGGTTGATGTTGATCCCGGACTGAAAGGTGACACAGCTCAAGGTAATGCAATTTATGTCCTCTTGCACATTCCAAAGGACCAAATTTAGTATGCGACTGGTGTAAATATCCATCAGTCCATGTCTTGTTTAGGGACATGAAGGCTGGTAAAATGCCACCAGA